CTGCGGCTGCCGGCGCTCCTGGCGACCCCCCTGCCCGGGGTGGCGACCCCGCCGGCTTCCGCGGAGGGTAGCGTGGCTACGGCGGGGCAGCGGGGGTGGGAAGGGCCGCGGCGGGCGGTTGGGGGGCCGGAGAGGGCAGGCGGGGAGCGGGGGAAGGGCTGTGGTGCCCCGTGGCTCCCCACAGACACACGGGAAACCTTCATGCGCACCTGGATCGGGTGAATTCATCAAGCAGCGGCGACTGGAACCCGCCTACCCTCGGCGTACACCATAAATCCCTACACAAGAAACACGCGTATAACCAGAGGAAACGCACACATTTCATACAACCTAAGAAAACAGCCCTGGGATCTCCAGAAGCCGGGCTCCGGCTGCAAACACCAAACCCCCCGCAGCAAGGAACACTGTAGATTAAAAACAAAGAAAAAACCCAAACGAAAGCCAGTGCGCCAAAAGCTCCGTTGTGCAGTTCGAAGGATATAACGGGCCGGGTTCTGTTTTGCAGGGTGCGGACAGCGGCCGCTCCTGGGCAGCCTCTCGGGGGCGCGGATCGTGGGCGGCCGCGACGCTCAGGCCGGAGCGTGGCCGTGGTCCGTCAGCCTCCAGATTCACCAGGCCGGTGTACGTTTCGCACACGTTTGCGGTGGAGTTCTAGTGAATGAGAATTCAGTACTTACCGCTGGCCACTGCGTTACGGGAAGGAAGTATGTGTTCACGCTAATACCTCTTTTTATTAAGTGTGCGGAGGGCACGGTAGATGAGCAGCGATACCTACGGTATCACTAAAGGCAAATCCATGGGACGTACACGGACCGAGCTCCCATGGTGCGGAGCCAACGTGCAGACCCAAACTATGCAGCTCCCGATTACCGATGCGGCCGTAGGAGGGGCTGGTTGTGGCGCTAAGGACCACAAACTGTCCCTTTTGTCACCAAAAACCATCCCCTTTGTCACCTTTGCTGTCCTGGTCCCGCGTGGCGACGGCTGCCAGCCCAGCACAGGATGCAAAGTTACATCTTGATAAGTCAACATCAAGAAGTCTCGGCTGCGCACCTCTGGCTTGGCCCAGAACCACCTTTGTTGTTTTTAATAAAGGGTCATTTGCTTTTGATCTAGGTGACGTTTTTGTTAGGTTGGGGGCTTTTTTTTTTTTTCCACGGGGCTCTAATTTTTCTGATTCTTCTAAACTAGTAAAGCTCACTGCAAAAAGAAAATGTTGCAATATTTACATTACGATCTACAAGTTTTAACAGTATTCCATTTTTTCCCGTTTAACAGAACCAACGATTTGGGACTTAACTACTTTTTTTTTTTTTTTTTGGACAAGACGGTAAAAACACTCCTTAGAACGGGCCTTTCACTTGTACTTACAGCAGTTCTGCTGCATTTCAGCTCTCTGATCTCCGTTGTCTTTTCTGTAGTCCTTTAACACAGTTGCAAAATCCGCACACTAGTTCAGGCAAGTTCTTACCGACCGTGTTGGCATAACCATGACCCAAGGGAAATTGAACCGTAAGAATCTCTGAACTTTGGAATTCATTATAATTTATTGGGACGTTGTTAGATCAGCTCCTTTGTTTCTTTAAATGCACTTTTACAAACATTAGAGAGGCGTTATATCGCAAATAATCAATTTAATTTTTGTCTTACGCTCTGGGGAATTTTGGAGGTTAATCTGGATTTTACAGCCTGCCCTTTGCTCATCACAGGCCAAATTCAATTCTCACTTAATATCAGTGTAGATTTGTTTCAACATACTCGAATAGAAATTAGGTCTGAATGACTCCGGCCCTATTTCTAAACTTAGTATTAAGTTGATATTCATTATTTGTAACTTCTAGTTAATGGACTTCCCAAACCTAGGTACGAGCACAGTCTTCATAAGCATTGCGGGTATAAGACTCCCTCCTTTCTGCAAAACAAATCCGTGTTTTCATCTTTTTCCGAAGAGTATCTCCCGGCTGGCCTCTGCTGAGACGGGGTGGGAAGCAAACTGCGTTATCAGCCTAAATCATTAACCTGAATGTGCCTTAACAGCCATAGCCAGCATTGGGCAAAGCGAGTGTGCAAAACAGACAAAATGGTAATTGGCCAAATACGTTCCAGACAATATTTCCTACAGAATTTTCAATGTATATTCCTAAAGGTGCATAAGCCGACAGTAAAACAATCGGTTAAAACAATGCCATCAAGAAAGGCATTTACTTTGATGTAATTGTAAAAAATCCCATGAATTCTCCCTTAGGGACCCATATTCCTGGAGAGCCGTTTTGGGCGTGCATAACCTTTGGAAACATGGTGAACACGCAGCAAAAAGAAGTATTCGAAGCATCGCCGTGCACCCGGAATTCAAGAGAGAAACATTTGAAAATGATATTGCATTATTCGAACTCGATTCCGCGGTACGCTACAGCGACTACATCCAGCCTATCTGCTTACCTCCCGCACCCCTTCGCCCGTACATCGACAACGACACAGAATGCTTCATTAGTGGTTGGGGGCGTACAGCAGAAAAAGGTACAAATTTCCTTGCGTTGTTGATCAATTTGTGAGCCGCATAACCGATCTCGGGTTCCAGTCCCTCAGGCTGACCGAGAGAACTGAGTTTGTTCAGGTTACGGCCTGATCACACAACGTCATCGAATCCTTCTGCAATCAAATATCTGCTTTCAGTATTTTTTCCATTGAAAGCAGATTAGATCCACGCAATGGAACCAAAGGCATAAGTTTTCTAGCCTTTCTTCCAAGTATAACACAAAAAAAAGAACATAAAGCAGCCTGACTTTCCGATTCGTGGTACAGCTACTCAACGCGGTCTGCTAGAAGTAGCTTTTTTATTGAAAAACAACAATTCTGATGCCGCGCATTGTGAACTTGGGGGTCCCCGTGTATTTTACAAATGGCCGCACTCCCTCAAACTCTCTCGTGAATCACAACGAGCACAAACTCGAGACGATGTCCGTTGGTGGCGCGCATCTTTCTTGTGTGGCGATGTCAAGGACAGCTGGGGATGACATAAGCGTGTTCGCCAAGTCACCCCTGAGCAAGGCTAGTGCGCGGTATTGTTATCGTCGGTGTTTCTTCCGAGTAAGAACTGCAAAAACGACATCGAATCCAAGTCTGCAAATCCTTAACCCACTGAAGTTTAAATCCATTCGAAGCAGGCACAATCTGTATTACGTACGTGTCTCAACACATAGAGAAACAGGCTTAAGCCAGCCAAACAGGAAAAAAGAGCACGGTAAGAACTGCTAGACGCAACAGCAAAAATATTTTACCTTTCTATACGCTGTCTTCCTTTAAAGGTAAAACTTCGGCTGTGTTAAAAGAAGCACAAGTGGAAATCATTCCTTCTAGCGTCTGCAACAGTTCTGATGCGTATGGAGGCCTGGTTAACAACAACATGATTTGTGCTGGCTCTCGATCAGGAGGCACCGACAGCTGTCAGGTAAGCGTGAACGCGGCGCCTGGCCCGCCACTACGGAAAGCACCGAGCCACTCTCGGGGGCACCATGACGACCAGCATTTGTAGCATAATTACTTCAAATGGCACAAATGCTAACCAGAGAACACGTCAAACTGCAAAAGAAGCATCGTAAATAGGGGGAGAGGCGAGATGGTGATTCCAAAGGAAAGACACATCTCAAAAAGGTACACAGAGAATTCCGTGATACTCGGAAGACGACAAGAACGAGCTAAAGTGAAAGGAGAAAGACCGCACACACGTTTGTATTGGCACAACGCTTGCCACGAAGAGGTCATTAAACGATACATTACACAAACGCGGGTCGGGATGCACACAGGGACCGCTGTAGGTATGTGGCGTGTGCGAAGCACGCAAGCGCCTTCCCTGTTTTTATGCTTTTGAAAGAGAGCAGCAGCAGCAGAAAGCGATACGGCTCAGTGACGCGGCAATGGTTTTATTTAAATGCTGAGCAATCGGCATCTCTTTCTCAGGAAAGACACTTTTCAGGTCAGAAGCACTAGTACGCAAAAGCTGGGGCACCAGTTGTGATACGCAGACATTTATAATTAAAACCCCTAACGTATTCATAAGCACGGTCTCTGATACGCTTCCTGCTTTCCTCAGCGGTTTTCCTTTAAGTAGGTGATATGGCAAAGAGTCAGGGTTGGGTATTCACGACCGTGTTTCTTGGTACTTATAGGCTGTGTGGGCAATATATTCTCGTGTTAACTGACGAGCGAGAAAGTTCAGGGAGACAAGCCTGAGCCTGAAAAGGCGCAGAAAGAAAAACAAGAACAAAACTTTAGTTAAGGACCCTGAAACTAAGGCAGGCAGGGCACTCTAGCACCCAGCATCACCAAATGTTAGCTTTACTTTTCTCTGCACTACTATCCACGTATTACTGTCATTATTACTGTCCAGTTAACTTAGCTGATTAAAAAAAGTTTAAAAAACCAAGTGGATGCGTTACTGACTTAATTCTACATTGACTCCTGGAAGGGAACGTATGTTACTAGTTTTTTTATTGTTTATTTATAGGGCGACAGCGGTGGACCTTTAGCGTGCTACCACCCTGGTACCAACAAATACTATCTCATAGGGATTGCTAGTTTTGGAGTCGGCTGTGGCCGACCAGAGTTTCCTGGGATCTACGTCCGTTTATCCCAATACAGAAGCTGGATAAAATCTGAACTTCTGTTGAGTAACGAGGCTGTGAACCCCGCGAGCGCCACGCTTACCATCTTTCTGACCGCGATAGGTGCGGTACTCGCGTAGAGTTTCTAAAGGGACAAACCGTCGCGTCGTCATCGCAGAGGTCTGGTCTGCCTGCTGAAACTCTGAAGAGAGAGCGAACTCCTGTTTCAGAATAAATCTGAGAGCCAAAGGACATACGCTTGTTTTTTAGAAGTCATGTTTGCAGTTGTGTTCTCTCTTTTGTTTTCTGCCTTTGATACCCATCCTAACAATAGAGGAAGTGACGACAACCTTGACCCTAATAATGAAATCGAATGTAGAAATGTTACCACCTGAAAATACTTTTTTCCTACCCTGTTTCAATGCTTTTCTCAGAAGCTTAAGCACCGCTCAGCAATACCGCCGCGATTCTGTAGCTGGCAGAGATACCCCCTCTGCCGGCTGAATACTAGGAGAGCACAGAATGGGTTTGGGTAACAGGGGCTCAGTTGCCTGAAAACTAAAAAGGAAAAAAAAACCTGCAGAAAGATACAAGGTATTCTCCGCTAGTTAAGTTTAGCGATGACTAAAATGCACACAGAAATAACTGAGTACTCGGACTGCTGAAAGGACACATCCGATAAAAGATCTCTGGGTGCTGTTTCATAGACTCAATATTTCTTCTTGGCCACCGTAAAAGACCCGACACCACACAACGTATGCACATTGGGTCAGAACCGCTGCAGTACTACGTTAATTAAAAATAAATAAGGAACGTCAGAATTATATTTTGGCGACTTTATTTACCAAGGTCAAAATTTGCAACCATCTAATTGTTTCGACAAATATTTACAATTCATATAAAGCATGTACTTCTGTGTGGAAATAACCAGCAGAACAGTATTAGCTACTATGTCTCTTACTCTCAGGACACAGATTTTACTCTCTTACAATCTAGCTTTTGAAGTAAATCCAAAATAAGTACTTCATGATAAGTGATTACTTAAAGAGCAAACTCGTGTTACTGTTTAATATTTCCATGATGAAAAATAAGCTGCTCTTTCCAAAACACTATTTTAAGAGGATAAAAATTTACTAACGTTACGTCTGGCAGCGCTACATTTGTTTCACTTGCTGAATACAGAAAGAATTGGCCACCATTTTTTTTACAGTCTTAACACTTGATAGCTTTTTTTATTATTATTCCGTATTACAAAAGAAGGTAAAGGAACAACAGCACACAGTGAGGATCAAAATACCATACAGAGGAGTTACCAAATCAGTTTCAGTACTGTAGGTCAAACCCTCTTAAACACATGCCAAACAGCGTCCACACACCCGATGGGAGCGCGCGCGAAAAGGTCCAATTCTCTGAGGCGCTCGGCACCTTCCCAGGTGCTCATTTTTCCCGAAATCCCACTAACAGAAACAGGAGGCACCAAACACCTCTTTCGGAGCAGCTCCCTAACGCAACGACGATCTCAGCCTCGCTCGCTATTTCTGATGTGCAACAGAAGCACTCTTGGGTGACACGATGGCGAACACAAGCGTATGCTCCGTTTTGGCCTAAAGGAAATGTTACTGTGGATCTCGTCTGTAACAATCGTGTACTCAGAAACTTTAGAGAAAATAGTATTTGTATAGCCTACTAACAACGGGATTGTGGAATGCAGTCTTTCTCATACCATTTGCCAAGAGCTCTGCTTGCTAGGAAGTCCGTTAATTCAAAAATGAGTAAAATAAAAAATACCGACTGACCATATGATAAGCATTACACATCTAGGGAGTGAGTACATCTTTTAATTTCATTCAGATCTGAGCTAGCACAACACACACACGTAGCTCTAACACCTTTTTAATAGCATAGTCCATAGTGCAATTCCCGCTGACATAACTGGAAGCAGGATTCAATCCTAACTATGGAAAATAGTGTAGTTATTATTCATGCAATAAGCACTGCAGACACAGTTTTCTATTTCACAGAATCACAGAATCACAGAATGGCTGAGGTTGGAGGGGGCCTCGGGAGGTGCCCTGGCCCAGCGCCCCGCTCCGGCGGGGTCGCCGAGAGCAGGGTGCCCAGGACCACGGCCAGGCGGCTTTTGAGCGTCTCCAGGAATGGAGATTCCACACCCAAAAGAGTCCTGATCACGTCAAACCTTGCGTTTTCACCTGAAACCAATTAAAATCATACAAACTAGAATCTCTGATAGCAGTCAGATCTCACGTGCAGATAATATCAACTGTGGGGAATAAAAAGCCCTGATCTCTGTTTGTTTTGGGTTTTGGTTTTTTTTTTTTTCTTTCTTTTTTTCCCAATACTCCTTAGGATCCGGTTTTTTTGCAAGTTGCCTACAGACATACAAAATTAATTCAAATATCTCCTACACCAAAGACGATCTCATTTGACTTTGTACTATCCATAAAAATATATGCTTGAAAATCTGGTTCACAAAATATTTCATTTGTTTACTAAAATGAAATATATAAACTGTCAAAATACGTATATAAACTCAATTTCAGAATTTGTAAAGATCACAATTTAGCTACAAAATATACCAACCATCTACCTGTTTTCAATAGAATATTTTCTTACAAAGATACTGTTACTTTGCAAAATATCGCCTACCTTACAAAATTAGTCCGGAAATTTTGCACTACTTTCAGCGTATAAACCATATATTAGAACCTCATTATCCCTTTGGTATACATCTTCGATTTGTTTTATTTTATCGTTCCTCTTCTATTTGGTTTAAATGTTCCGAAGCACAGTAGAATCTCCAGACAGAATAAGCAATGCATGTTTAATTGTACATATAATCAGCACACAATTTATTTTTCAATTATAGATGTTTATCATGCCCAGCAACTAAGAACAAACTATCGTGAAATCATTCCTCGGAAACTTCTCTTCACCAGTGCTCGTTCTACCACACCGTACTTCAACAGAATCGGATGTGTTGAGTTCTCTTAGGAAAAGTCAACACCTTATTTCATGTGCCTCAGGCATTTTCAGGACTAGGCCTCTCGCTGCTTTCTGCGGATCCCTTCCAGATTTGATAAACACAGCAAACATTGAAAAAAAACCCCAACTTTTTAAGCTGTCAGCTGAGAAAGAGTAAACATAATTTATACCTCTAGCAAAGTATTAGCTTTTTTAATCATCTGCACCTGTAAATAACAACTTACAGGTTAAAATAAAAATATTTACATACAAATAACTGAAAGAAAAAGTAAGGATTGAAAAAGAGTAAGAAATCGAAACATATACTGGTTATAAATGTTACTAATAATGTCACCTATGGCAAGGATTCCATTTCATCCACGTTTTAACTGTAACCAAATATTGCCTCCATTACAAGAGGTATTTGTAGAAATTTTCAAAGGAATTCTAATCCCCTGCCTCGTAAAACGGGACTGTCCTTTCATTGTAGATGCAATCTTGACTTTATAAAGTTTCCAGTTGTGCCAGCAGGAATTTGCAGGAATTTTGGTGAGGTTTTCTTGTTTCCTTTTTGTACTTTGTCACCAACATGTTGTAAATAAAATCTATATAGTCTTTAAGTTGTGAAATCTAGGTAGAAAAGTTTCATTTTTGACCTTTCATCTAGTTTAAAAAATTCAGTATAAAAAAAAATTTCTCCTCTCAAATTTAAACAGTCCACAAAAGTTTTACCTTCTTTTCTTACACACTTTTATGACAGTAAAGATCTTTCAAAGTTTTTAGCTCTTCAATTAGAGTTTTGTTCTGATTTTCCAGGACCGCAACTCGATTTTCCAGACATTTAACATACTCTTTCTTCTTCCTACGGCATTCTCGAGCAGCTTCTCTGGAACAGACAAGCAGAAGTAATTGTTTATTTTAGATGTGAGATGCGTCTATTCTATGAATGTTACGATTCTGACCAGCGTGAGAGGAGAGGCCTGGCACTGCAATCGTGAGCAAAACAAACTGAGGAGGCCACAACGATAGGTGGAGAGCAGGAAATTTAGCGGTATCTGGTAACACAACACGGCAGTCAGTCTGCAGGGAAAAAACAATTTGCTTTCTCCGAGCTGTGGGAGACAGAACGCGTAGCAAGCTCTGGTCAGAATTTCCCATGTTTTCAGTCGCTGGATGCAGCATACCGTACTGATGGCACAATGGGTAACGTCAGCTCGCAAGACTCGTCATTTGTCCTCTGAAGATGTATTTCAGCACGTTAAACTGAGAAATCAAAGCAGCCCACGTGCACGTACATACCTGTTCTTCATCAGCCTTATTTCTCGTTTCAACTGCGGATCATCTGTCTTGCTTGTCTGTGATGTCAGGGTGACAGGAGATGTCATCACCACAGTCTGAGGCAGGGACGTGGTAGTCGGTGTGCTGCGGATCTGGTAAGTCTGCATGTCTCCCGACGCAGCTGTTGCGATAATAGCACAAGACATCGAAACGTGGGAGCGTTAGAAAGTGACGCCTGAGCTAGGGGTGGGTATTCCTCACCGTTTCCAGAAGGCGTACTCACTCTGCACTACCACCTGGTTGCTGGGGACCAGTATCTGTTGACCATCTGACGTTTGTGCGTACTGCAGTATTGTTGTCCCAGGCTGAGCACCGCCAGCATTTGTCATCGTTAGTGTCTGCAGACCTTGCACACCATCTGTACCTGGGCTGGCCAGCTGCAAGCCATTTGCAGCAATGGCAACTTAAAAGAAAAAGGAACACGCACAACAACGTTTGTAGCTGTACATTATAAATCCAGATAAAGGTAAACCTGTAGGCTGGACGTCTGTTGCCACTGCTGGAAGACACCGCCAGGTCTGAAAGGCTTTTTTCGTCTGTCACTTTGAACTACCAGATCTTGCTGCTGGGTTCTTCCTAAACCTATCGGGTGTATGTGGCGAGGTGTCGGGAGCGGGGGGAGCCGCAGGGCTGGCCTCGCTGCGACGAGGTCTCTGCCCCGAGCCAGACACCGGCTCCACGTGGACCCACGCTGCCACAGCTGGTGGCTCCTCTGTGGAATCATTCTCAGGAAAGGGCAAAAAATCCAGACAGGCACAGGAGCAGGGGAAGCGAGAAACAGCGGCCTGAACAGCCAGCTCAGAGAAGGACGGCGAGGAGG